AATTGACTAATATATACTTTCCGTTTAAACAACAATCGAATTATAACTCAAGCAATCTTTTTGTGGCACTTCATTCTCCAATGTTTCCATAAAATTACCACCAGTTTTCCATTTTTTTCATCTTTTTTTTTTTTTTGAACCGCTGATACGTTTGACTGTTTTGGAAACTGCTGGATTCATCTCAACCCACTCGCAGTTTTGGAGTCAAAATAAATTGTATATTTTTTTTTCAGTTGTAGGAATGATGAAATTGAGACTGTCGACACAGAGAGTAAACATCTCATCCGTCATCCATCAATCCGTTTGTCTTATTGTGGAGAACTGTTGTTTTTCAGTTTGTATTGCATAAAGGCAGTAAAGAGAAACAACAGGGAGAGACACGTAGTCATGGCCAAGAGGAGGCCCTGCAGTAAGAACACTGTATTCACAGGTTACTTCCATAAACTATAAACGCACAATAGAAATACAAAAAAAAAGCATTGCTTTGTTGTGAGAATAAGAAAAAATAATGTACCTATAAATCAAGTTCCGTGTCTTTGTATTATGAATAGGACGGTTTTCGTTAAATAAATTAAACACAGACTCGTGCCATGTTTCTTTTCCCCCCCTGAATCATATTGCGTAAAGAGAAATCAAGATGTTGTTCACTTAATGAAGTTTGATTCACTCTTTTTTGATTTCTTGCAGGAACACTTTCAATGGCAAATTCAGGGCCAAACACCAACGGCTCCCAGTTCTTCATCTGCACGGCTAAAACAGAATGGTGAAGACTTTATTTTAACGTCTCCTTTTCTCCCCACGTCCAAATCCAATCACTTCGCAGTTGCTAAAGTCCCATTTTGTCTGCTCCTCTGACAGGCTTGATGGTAAACACGTGGTGTTTGGGCAGGTGACGGAGGGTATGAACGTGGTCACCAAGATGGAATCCTTTGGTTTACATGACGGCGGTGTGACTAAGAACATTGTCATCACCGACTGTGGGGAGATCCCCCGAGAGCATACAAGGACTTCTGTTGAATGAATTAACATGAAAGCATTTACATCCTCTTTCATCTGTCTTGAGGACACTGTCAAGATCTAGCTCATCACTAAAATCTGATATTTCATACTTTTATTTTGTATTTTAGAAGATATTTCCCATACCTTGTTTGAAGTTTGAACCATCTATTTTGTTATTGCTTTAAGTTATCGGTAATTACGCTCCGTTTACAGCCAAATAAAATGACTTCTTTTAGATTTGACTATCTCTAGCTTTAGTACGGGACATTTACTCTAACCTGCCACCGGCCCCGCTGCTTTTAAAGCTTCCTGGAAATGATCCAGCAGCTTTTTTTAGACACAGGCTCTCCGGTGCGACTGACTTCCTGTCCATCGGAGCAGGACGTGACATAATTTGACATCCACCTACAGTCGAGCTGAAATATGACTTGAATGCATTTGACAGAGGAAAGAGTTCCGGCTATAGCCTCATTGGACACGGTGCATGAAGATGATTTTATCTGCTGGAACCATGAAGGAACCCGGGGGTTAAAAAATGCCTTCAGCGTGCACGTGGGCCGGCTCTCCCTTCACTGCTCCTTCATTCAAATCGCAGAAAAGAAAGCAGACGTGTCTGAAAGTCAGAGACTGGGTGGTGCTGCTTATCGAGCTAATACTTTACAAAAGTAAATAATGAAGCGACAGCAAAAAAGCAGCTCTTTCCCATAAATGAAACCATATGCGCGCTGACCTTCCACCGTTTGTTTGAAATCTCCGATTACATTGTTGCTATAGAGACCTCTCGGCGCTCTCTCTGTTTGAGCTGAAGAGATGTTGTAACAAACGTGATATAATTTGGGTCCCCACCCTCTGGTTTAGTGTTTGGTTATTTGGAATGCATGTCCAATATTGCCGGTGGAAAGTTGGCTGCAGAGACGACGTCGACGGCGGCCAACGTTTATTACGCATGCAAAACAATGACATCTACAACTGGTGCAGGCTGGTTCTTCTGCGCTAAAACCTCTCTGTTTATCACACGGCACCCGCGTCAGCTGCTGCGTCCTCCTTTTCCCCACCGCAGTTAGAATCCAGTCCCGTCAGCTCGACGTGTCTGTTATCTTTCAGCACGGGGAGTGAAAAACAAGTCTATGAAGCCCCCCCACTTTTCCCTTCCCTCGTCCATGTCACATAACTGCCATGAATAATCCGTTGAAAACCTCCATCGTGATCTTTACGCTGATTCTCGCTAAAGACTTTTGGGTTTACAGTCAAAGGCAACACATAGAAAGTTTACTATTTCACCAGCAGCTCTCAGAAAACTTCTTTTTGCCTTTAACTGAAATCAGGATTCAATTCAGGAGAGGAGCCAAACAAATGAAACCACATAACCCAAGCGCTCTTAATTTAATATGACTTTAATTTAACTCCCAACAGCACTTAAGGACTAACATGTTTTCTCAACTAACAAATAAGGCACATTTTGGAATGCCATTTCATGGACATGAAAAACAGACCTGTGGTCGACTCTCGAAAAACCACCACCACTGTCCTTGTTTCCCAAAATGATTCTTCCCCACCTCACGCCTGCGTTCTGTCCAATTCAAAGTAAAACATTATCGCAACACAAACATCCCGAGTGACACAGACAGGCAAGAATACAAACATAACTTTTCAAATTGACCACACAAGCGTGAACACATTACATTCAGTAAATATGTATTATTTGTAGATGCTAAATGACACACTATACTCAGAAGTTGCTGATAATGTTAAAAACAAGATGCGCTGTTGCAAACTGCTGTAAAATATTTAAATAAGTATACATTGCACAAAATAATATTTAACTCAAACAAAATACATGCACATGCAAACTCTAAAATAGTTCTTTGTCACACTTTTCTTGACAAAAGTATACACTCCCTAAACTACTGATATCACCGTAACATTTTATAATAGTTTCTTTGTTATTGCTGCTTTAAGCAAACTACATCTCACAGTTTAATGTGCTTATACAGTGGTGAGTATCCGTCACACAAAGATTTCTGCATGTTATCACGATACATACCTTCATCATATTGTTTACATAATGGATACATGTGAGTGTATGGATGTAAATGACAGCTCATAATTAGTTACATATAACCACTGAATAACATAGTGACTTAATCAACAAAACACAAACATACAATGGCTTACAATTGAGAGAGGCTATTAATTATGTACCAGCTTTTCTTTTTATAATACTCTATGTAGACATCAATATTTCCTTCTTTGTGTAACCTTGTTGCATATTCTATACAAAATATGTTGTAAAAAACCCATAAATATCTCTGCAGGATAACCCCTCAGATTATTGTAAAACATACAGGAAAAAGCCCGTCCAGCTTTGTTTACTTCTCAGCAATAGGCCCTTCTTCGCGCGAAAAAGCTTCAATATTGCATAACACCTAGAAAGAGCTCCTCTCCTTGATAATGATGGCCATCAAATATATACATAAAACGGTCTTTCTTCTTCAGGGAAATAACTCTTGAGTTTTTGCGGATTGCTGTAAAATGTTCAACATCTATTAAGTGTTCCAAAATACACATCTCATTCATAAAAAATAACAAATTTGAACTATGAAGGTACTAAAAAAGTCAAGTATATGCGCTCAAGACATTATGTCAGAAAGCTGAGATTTTCCTTTTTTTTTTGTCAAATCTCTTCTATCAACTGCTTCCATTGGCTCTTTATTTGCCATTTAAAACGTCCTCCTCACAACTCGTCTCTGCGCTGGACCAAACTCGCCAACCAGATTCATCACTGCTCTGCCAGAACTCCACGAACCACAAAACCATTGTTGCTTATTTATGAACTTGGTTCATGAGGCATCGTTGGTATCTATTTCTCCCACTACAGCCGCTCCATAATGAGGAAATTATCCACGTGACACGTCAGTCATGTCTGCGTGGGCTTGAAGACGCAATTTAAACCAGAACCGCCCGTTGCAAACTGGAGGAGTTTGTAAGTCTTCTGAAAGACGCCTTTGAGTTGCATTATGGGGAAGTTGGGATCGAGCATTCAGGAGCACGACATTAGGGAATAAAAGTCTGGATATCTCAGTCTCATCCTGCAGGGATCTCAACTATTCCTTAGTGTTTCTGAGGAGCCTCCCGACTCCCGCTGAATCACTGGAGTGACTTTACAGACTAAACCTCCTGTAAAATACCATAATCAGCCACTTTCACAATCTTTCTCACTAAGGCCATGAATGTTTTTCTTTTTTATTGTTTAACAAAACCCACGGTTGCTTGGATGAACACCACTCCAATAGATTAACAAAACAAAGAGTGAGGCCCACAGTTTCACGAGCAGCTCCGCTGTGTTGTCAGCATCGACAAAGAAATAACATTTTTGTGGATATTCCATGACAACAAACCACAGTAGGATTGTTTTTGCCAGCTGGAAATGCTGCTTCAGCCTGTGCCTCCGACTCCACAAACTGTGTTGGAGCGAACACCCAGCGCGCCAGTACGAGCGAATGGATCAGCCGCGTTCTTCTCTTGTCCTCTGTCACGTCTTTAACTTGCATTAAACTTACTATGCGCCACAGTTCCCACGTGCACGTACACTTCCTTCACCCCACATGTCCTTTTCTAATTTCAAGAGGCCTCGTGTAGTCCTGATACTTCAGAATGGTTTCAATATTTTTAAGGCACATAGTATATTACAACATAAAATATGCTCAACCAGCTTTTATAAGGCTAGGCGTACAGTACGTATAAAATAGTTTAGCATTTCTATAACAAGGTTCCTTGAAAGGCAGGTTTCTAAGTCAAAGCTACAGTAATTTCCGCTGTAGTGCTTTTGACTGCACGACGATATTTGTAAACAGGATGTGAACTTTTCTTCCTATAAAGACATTGGTGTATAATAGTAGGCACTTATATTCATAAAAAAATAATATAAGTGTAAACTTCACTCGTCATTATGTCCTTGAATCTTCAACATCACCGCATTACAAATCCGTCCACCTATATTGAATCTCATTGTTTTTCTCTACCGACCTGAAAATCATCACAATTCTCCTCACGTCAGCTCCTCTAGACACTCTTTACTCGGCACTCAACTGTCGGACATTGTTCCCAAAGGTTCAAACCCGTGGAAAGGTTTCCTTTTCTTTCTTTTTGTTGTATTTCCCTAATTTGTGGTTCAAATCTATTCAGGCCTTACCTGCAACCAGGTAAATGTTTTGTAATTGTAATGAAAATATGAGTAGCAAATAGTTGAAGCAACTTGCCTACAGAAACATCATCTGTATCGAACACTATAGATGATTAAGAGATAGTGTGGCAGAAAAAATACTCTAGAGAGGGTGACAAAAACACACTAAATCTAGACACGGAGCGACGGAACCTACAGTAGTTTCTAAAGACACTTGGAAGCAGTTACACAATAATGTGATATACAAACATACAAAAAAAAAAAAAAACATTTCTTTATGTCAAAGTTAAAAATTCAAATTGCACACTAGATAACAAGAAAATAAATAGGCCCAATGTAAGCTGGGGATGTTTGGCACATTGTCCCTCAGTTAATTCACAGTTAATAAGATGTGCTCCTGACCCTAACGAGACATCAAAGGCCTCGAATACACTACACTATCATGAGAGACGCACTACTACACACTTCACTTGGCAAGGAGAAGGAAGGCTGATATCTGTAAACACGAAGCCAACCAATCCCACGGTGAGGTAATGCACCCAGACCATTGAAACACACGCTAATTCACGAACGCACCATTTCTTGTTGTTGGAAACGTGGAGTCGGGTCATCGGGGTCGTGCGGTTTCTGACACGCGAGGCGCGGGGGAAAAAAAGGTCAGTGATTTTGGCAGAGGTTTTTGCTTTCGCTGAGGAGCACTTGGAGGTGTTGATCCTTAAGTTAACATGTCCCTCTCATTCCTGGATGCAACCGTCAATACTGTCATCGGAAAAAACAACAACAAAAAAAAAAAAGCGTGGTTGAGAAGCGGGAAAGGAGCGATTAGCGTCACTGTCTATATTTGAGTCTTCTAAGAGAATGGGGGAAGACGGGAGGAGGAAAGGCTGCCGTGTTGTGTGCAGGGCAGAGATGAGGGAGACCTGGAAGTGAGGGGAGGAAGTTAACAGCCTTGATGTGGGACGAGCAATAGGACCTGGGACACAAAAGCTGCTCTCAGGCTCTGAATAAAGAGGATTATTGCACACGGCGGCAGTAGTAGCCCAGGACTTTACATTTCTCGCACAGGTGTTGGGGGTGCTCCTTACTCTGGTCAGAAACATCGAGGCCGTCCGGCTTCTCTAAAGGCCGCTGTGGACGCAAACAGAGAAGAACCAGTGGTGAGTCACGATCGGCCGCTGGAGAAAGCAAACCAAGCAGCGCACACACGTAAACACGAGTTGTGCAAGCAGCTTCTCCGGCACCAGATTCCTATCGGCCGTTAGCCCGGCTGCCTTGGCCTCACACGTATTTTTCACAGGTCAGGCGTGCACTAAATACATTAGTTGCAGAAGTATGGCAGCGTAGCTCTGGAACTTTACGAGCCCTGGCATTAAGGAAGAAGAGATCCAGCACGTATTTGGCCATGATGAATAAATCATGATGAAATATCAGGAAACCGTTTCAGAAATGCCTTTTTGTGGATTAATTATCGGGAACAGAGGGAATCAATCTGGGCAAGAAACGTGTTGAGGCTATTTGAAGCATCTGTGTGGAAAATATCTATTGTTCTTTTCTTTTTCTTTAGAAAACGTTATAATTGAAGGGAACGCGGGTTACCGCGGGTCACTACAGAGAAATATCTCAAGTTGAGACTTTACTATCTACTATGTGCATTATCAACGACATCAGACCCTTGAGAAAAGGACAATATGATCTATAGATCTAGAGAAACTCAAGTCAGTTTGTGTGTCATCGTGGTGTCGTTAAATTAGCTTCGGCTGTCAGTTAGCATGCTCGTTAGCCTTATTGTTGAATTGGATCGCCGGAAGATTTGCGATAAAACTTACTTTGCCCAAATGCAACCGAGTCCACTGAAATGTAACACAGCTGAGTTAAATCAGTCAGTAAGACAAGCTGTAAAAGCCCAGGGGGAGAGAAATATACTTTTGTAAAGAAAGGGGGATAGAAATATATTTCCCTCCAAATATTGGATGCATGTGGCTTGTGTTGTAAAATACATATTCAGGTTATTTATGGGAATCCTCCAGCAGGAGGGAGCCTGGCTGAGACGCTGATACTCTTTGATACCCGAGGACCCCGAGGTTAGTGGTCCATTTCAAACGCTGACTGGGGGGGGGGGGGATATGTTAAGTGGGTGACTTTGCAAATGCAGGGAATTTGCTTGCCTGTTTTCTCACCCGCAACCTCTGTGGATAGAATGCATGCGGTCTTCCACCAAGGCTTTCTAAAGGGTGCCGTCACGTTCGAATGAACAGACAAAAGCAAGCATTGTAATAATTGACAATTGTAGTAAATTAAGGATTAAAAGTGGGATTCGGAACATTAATAGGCTTCCTGCTATGGTCTTTGTAAAGATATAGTTAAATAGTGTCCTGCTCTCCCTCTGTGTGTTGTAATGCAAGTTTTTTCCTCACTTTGCTGACGTAGTCGACTTGTTGAGAGCCGCCGTGAGGCGACGCAAACGCTCCCAATCCCGTGTGTTGCACCTTAAACTTTCCATTGTCTGCAAATGTTTTGACTGCTTTCCAGACATCTTGGATATATTTATCAAGTGTTAGCCGAGTGGAGCACGGCCCTCCGTGGTATTCAGACAACGAGCAAGGTCCTGACTGTCAGGAAGTGGAATCGGAGGAATGTGAAAAGCATAAATATTAAAAGATGAAGGGTTGTGGATAAATATATCTGTAGCTGAAGAAAACCAAGCGGATTCTTTCTCAGGAAATCCATCTCTTTAGTCAACAGGCTGCGAGGAGAATCTGAGGTTAAGCCGGACAGACGGCTCACCAGCACGTCAATTCCCTCTGAGTGTTTGCTGCTCTGAAAAACACTCATGGTATCTTGTTTAATATGAGTTCACCCTTTTGTGTGGTTAAATGTGGGAGGAATTTCTTAAGCCATAAGTCTCGATTACCGCAGAGGTAGTTTGCGTCTGTGAGACATTAATAAAAGTAAACAATTCAAAACCTTTTATCCGTCACGTCATCAGTTTATTCAATGAAATCAGTTTATTCAGTCTTGGTTTATTACCAAAGAGGATAAAGCAAATGTTATTGGTATGATCTTTATTCTGTTTTAATAAAACCATCTGGAATACCCTGGAGACAATACGCAGACACGCACACCAGAGCCTGCACTCAATCTACCACTAAAACCACAGCTTTTATTTCTTACATTTTTGAAGTCGTTAGATTAAATTTCCAGGGTACCTGTTTGTGTGGATAGACGTTGATGTGGCATTTGATGCATTCTTGCCCCATGTTGGCCCAGGAGTTGCCACTCATCCACTTCCTCTTACACTTGGGGCACTTGTACTCTCCGAAGCATCTCTTCTTTCCCTGGTAGGGGGTCAGCCCTTCACCTTTGGGTCTGGCCTGCAAAGAACAGCGTGAGTGAATAAAACGCATCCACATGTGGGGAAATTAAAAACTTTAAAACATTCTTGACCCTGAGATAAAAAAACAAACAAAAAAGGCCCAGAGAGAACCTTTTGGACAATAACGGATGTTGAGCTTTGACAGCAGGGTGTGTCCATCTATGTTGTGCTCGTACATTCGCCCTCATCATACAGCTCGTTCCTACGCGCAATATTGGAACAACGTGTGGCTGTGTAATTGGCGTTTACTTCCATTGCAGCTGTGTCAAATTACTCCTCTGATTCCCATGAGGGAAATGATTACAAACTGTCGGTGCGCCATGAAAAAAGCAATATAGTTGGGAGGAGCCGCTCGGATGACTTCACTTCGGCAACTTTATTTTGCCCACTATTCTGCCTTAGTTGAAAAGTTAATTTAGTCCATGCTACAGAATAGATTGTTGCTGATATATATATATATATATATATATATATATATATATATATATATATATATATATATATATGAAAAGGACCAATCTCCAACTGTCCTCTGCCAAAATCCTGCCAAAAGAAACCCAAATGTGTATTGATTAGTAAGCTTGACAGGGTTTGTCGGCTTTATCATCAAACATCTGCGTACATCTGCCCAGTGTTAGTCACTGTAATCCTGGGGTGGAGGAGATTTCGATAAGCAAAATGAATCAATTTGTAAGTTAAACATTATAAAATGAGTAGTGAGAAATAAAAGGTTGTTTTTTAAAAAGCTGTAATGTACAGATGGAAATCTGATGGCTTCCTTCCAGAAGGTTTGAAAAATGATCTACTTGCGTTTCAAAGTAAAATCAGACTTTCCCTCTCCGCCCCTTATTCTCCTGCAAGCCTGCAGATTGTTTTCATACTTGGAAGGGATGGGGGGGCTGCCGCGGCAGTGAGAGGATGGTCTTCCCTTTACGCGTCCCAACCCATGTGTGAGTAATAGGAACTTTAATCAGAAGCATGTGGCGCTGTCCTTTCAGACGTCAGCAGTTTGCATCAGCACCGTGTAGTAGGAGCGGCTGCAATCTGGCCCCTCGGCAGCATGACCTCAACCCCGCTGTCAGCTTCGCATCTCCTACTGTGACAGCACGCTGGCTGGAAAAGCTGACTTGTGCTGGTCTGCTGGTCTCAACAGACTGACAGAATTGTCTAAATACAATCGATGGGATACCTCAAAGACGATGCCATTGGAACAAGCTGTTGAAACGTATCCTGTTACAAAATGGTCCCAACGGACATTCTGCCCATTTCAATCTTAAAAGCCCAAACAGCTAATGAAATAAAGTTCATTAATTGAAAGTTTAAAAATAAACTATAACGAGAGTGCCAGGTGTACTACCCAGGTGGTCTAACCTTAACCCTTCATGTGGATTCTAAAACCGCTGGAATTGAACATCCCGTCCCATTGTTCAAATGTTAAAAAAAAAACAAGGTCTCTCCCTGATGCTGCAGCCAGGAGTCAGCGGGACAGAAACAGCACTCATCCGCCTCATGACCATTCCCCTCCAGCTCCATGCTGTTTCCACGGACGGGCCTTGGCCTTTGGCTGCACGTCATGCTCTGTCTGCAGCTGAGTGCTTTCAGATTTGGTACAAACGTGTGTGCAATCAACTTGAGGCTGCCTCTGATATACACACAGCAAAGGGCTAATCTATCCAGGCCAGAGGGAGAAGTAGAAGCCATCTTGGTTGATAAAGTCTTCAAATACAAAAAAAACTGACTATGTATAGATATATACTGTGTATTTATCTATAGATGTATATAGATAGATATGTGTATGTATAAGAAGACTTTTGACTGGTTGCATTGTGTTCTATAACCGTAGACTGAATGCCTTGTGGTTTACTAAAGTAAATATATGCGTTACTTTTGAGTAACATCAAATTATCACAAACTGATTAATATGGAAATGATTTGCTGGTACAAAAACAAATGAAAAAGCATTGAGTGAGCTAGTTTTAATGAGTTTAGTTTGCACAAATGTTTGCACATTTCCAAATAAGAACTTACTTAGACAATAGACTCATTAGTTTGAGTATTGCACACTGTGGCCACTTGTTTTCAGGCCATTGCAACACTTTGCCTCTCATGGATGTCTGAGACAAACCGCTGTTTTGATGCAATGAACATCACAGGCACAGTTGACATTGCACATTTCAATGCACAACCAAACAACAGAGCGAATATCAACAAAACATCTGGATTGTTGTGCCAGTTGTGGCGGGCTTAGGAAACCTGCAGCTAGATTCAGGGCAGCTGCTAATGAAGGAAGCTTTTCTTACACTACGCATAACATGCGCACATGCAGGGCCTAACTGTCCGCCGGTGGACCACTGGTGCAAGTAGCTCATAAATCAAAACCCGAGCAAATGTTTTAGTTAAGCCCGTTTCCCAGGAAAACAAGTACGCTAAGATGCCTTTAAAGCAACATTTACAAAACCATTCACAATACAGAGTAAACTGACTGATTTGATGGAACTGCGTCATCACACCACACAACACTACGGAAGAGAGGGGCCACAGGAGGGTGTGTTTTCTTTTCCTTCATCTCCACAAATAGAGCCCGCTGAAGCTTGATGGTAGATGGGGATGTCTGAGCCTTTAGAGCGCGTTAGGTGTCCGTCGAGTGGAAGCAAAGCTTTGAAATGCTTTGACGTTGTTCGAGGGAGGAAGCGGCGGACCGACTCTGCGTTGAGTCAGTGTTTGTTTTATGTCCCCGAGGCTGGCGCCCCCGCTACTGAGACAAGGGTCAGCGTGAGGGGTCGAGGACAGCGTCCACAGAGGAGTACAGCTCCCCGCAGCCACAACGAGATGACCACATCCTCCTTTGGTCCGGATCACAGCGTGGACGCATCACGCTCACGCGCGTGCACGCTGACGTCAGTGCGACTGTGAAACGCGGCATGTGCGCGTGCGATACGCACGTTCCCCGCTGCGATCAATTCTCTCCTCGTAACACAGACATGGACGCACAAGCACTGACACACACGCGGCGCTCAACAAATTCAACATCCGCAGGTTTTCATGCGCTCTAGAGACACAACTGGAAAGTCTCGGCGAACTCGTTTCCTGCACTACTCCCACTCAGGGTTTAGCCCTGCTAGAAGGACGCACATCATTCTTTGGCTTATATTGCCGGGTTAATGAGCTCACAAACTGCATTAAATGCAATAACAGGACAGCGTAAAAGAAAGAAAATAAGGGGGGGACAGCTATGAGACTCGGGAGAACGAGATGAACAGAAACAGAAGAAAGCTTGTTAAGATTGAGGAATTGTTAACATCTGAGTTGAACGCAAAAGCGCCTCCCGCTTCTCCGGACTCACACTCCCAACATGCACACACAGGCCCAGCGGTCGCTCGAGCCAAGTGCGGAGAGGCCTTTCGATCAGCCCCTCTCAGGAGGCTGCGGAGGGAGGAACCGAGGGAAGGAGGAAATCTAAATCCGAAGCAGATGGCCTGCGTAGGGGCAGAACATGAGAAACACAAAGAGAGCCGTCGTAAAAATTGCTCCTCTGCTTTCAATTAGGCCGTTCAATTCAGAGAGAGAGAGAGAGAGAGAGAGAGAGAGAGTATTAACTAACCCCTTTAGCTTTGGCCACAACTACAGCGGACTTGTTATCATGTGGAGGAATGTGGAGACGATCCCCTCGGGTGTCGATTTTAAGGACACATCGGTTGTTCAAACAGAGCGATATTAGGAATTTGTGGCAGGTAGATTAGCCAATAGGAAGCGAACAGGAAGAGGCGTGTGTCAATTAGCGATGCCGGTCTAGACGACACCCACTGTGAAGGGTATTTCAGGTAATCCTGTGAAATTGATTACAAGCCATGCGGCCGACTCTGAATATCATTTTTCCGCGAAACCATCTTGAAATTCTGCTCCGGAGAAAACCATGAAAATATTACTGACCACGGGAAAGAAAAAGTGTGGTCCAGACTGCTGTCTGAGGACCTAGAGGTGATCTCGCATTCGTGTTGATCTTACGTTGCAGGACGAGAGTCACGAGCAGTGAACAGACACCAGACGTAAACCTGAACCCTTAATCCGGCGAGAGGATGGGCCAGCCTCCTCTTCCAAGCTAAACCGAAGAATGATTATTCTGAAAAAGGGCTTCTTCCAAGGTTGTGACCATGGGATTTCACACATGCCGGTCACATCCACCTACGGTTGAAGTGAGCTCCAACAGTCGGTCCACAGATAACAAATGAGAGGAGACAGGGCTGAGAGTAAAGCTCAGGGTTTCATGTCAATGCTAGATGCCATTCAGCGGTCTGTCTGCCTGCCTCGACGAGAAAACATGGGATTTGGTGGGTAAAACAACATTGAGGCTTTGGAAAAGGGGTTGGTAGTAATTGTATCCAACCACTCTTCTGGTCTCCATTTGGAGAGCAAGGTCTTTGCCGGCCAATGACGCTCGACTTTGATATAAATAAAGCGAGGTCTTCAGATGTTTGAAATGTCTTCAAATGAACCTAAACACTTGAAAATTGGTGGTTTGGTGGGTTGAGAAGAATAAAAAACAAACAATAGTGTTGAAGAAAAATATGATGATGAATAATAAATGATAATGTGAGATTCTTCCGCAGGATTTGATGGTCCTATCACATAACCGTCGAGTTGTTCCACCACTGAACGCCTGTGGGTTGACCACATCAAGGCAATTCAGACCCGGACAACATATGCAGAAAAGTCCCATACTTTTGCATTAAATTGTCTCCTTTGGTATTCCTCTCTACACGCCACCTACACAAACAGAGAAAAATAGCCCTCTTTAACCAAAGTCTATTTTGTTTTAACTGCTTCTTGGTTAAATCACTAACCTAATGACCAACAGCGTTATCTGACATTACAGAAGCTTCAGATCTGAGGGCGCAGTGGGCCGACGGTCAGTCAGAACTGGGGGTCAAGTGAGGGTGTGCAGATGGCCTCTCACAAGAATGACACTGTCACCACCTCAGCTGTGTCTCGCTGCACACA